AGTACGGCAGCCGGTGTCGACAGACTCACGGTTCCATCACCCCCGGCCGCACCCAGGGTGTCCTCGAGTATCCCCACGAAGAGCGAGAGGAAGGTGCGCTCAACCGTTGTGGCCGCGCCCTCCCCGGCGAGCAGCCGGCTGACTAGCCCGCTCGCTTCCTCCGCAGACACCTGAGCCGCTCTAGCCCGTGCGGCCAGGACCTGTGCGAGGGTGCGGGAGGATGCTGCTGCTCCCCCCTCCTCCGTCCGAGAGCCTTCGTCCTTGACGAGTAGATCCTCCGCCCGACGATGGGCACGAGTCACGTGCTTCGCGACCCGCTGATTGTCGCCCGCAAAATTTTTTCCCTTCAACAGCCCGGCGACCGCCTCCTTCCATAGCACAGCCAGAATGGCGTTGAACGTCTGACTCAGCGAATCCAGCCCCCTCTGACCAGCGGTCACGTGGTAGAGGCTCGCCTCTGTTGCTCTCGTAATATTCTGCTTGAGCACGGCGGCGGACTCGACCGGTCCCGAAGCGGTCGGCGATACCCACTTCTGGATTTTCATGAAGAACGACGCGATGGCTTCAACGAGCGAGGGCAAGCACTCCTTGCGTACGGCGTTGATAGTCTCGGTCTTGTTAGCCATTGTTAGACACTACTGCGTAGGGACAGCCTTAAAGGTTTCACAGAACTACGATGGGGTGTGACGCAGGGTGTGCACAAGCAAAGGCTAAACCCGATTTTACCCCCGAAGACCGGCACCGAAAGCTGACGTCAGGAACGAGGGAGAGAGAGACGTCTGCCCCAGGCTCAAGCACACGCTGTCTTGCGACAGGGCCTTGCTCACTACACTATCGATTCTCAACTTTGTTGTCGTTTGTCGTGGTGAATAGTTTTGCATGTAATATTTTTTGTGTTGACCCTGTTGTGTCGTGGTCATGGTTGATCTGCAGATCTGATCGATCAACCGCGCCCTGCCTCATCGACCTGAACGTCACCCGAGTCCATCCCATTGCCTGCTGGCTTTGTCCAGTCCCTGTTGGCTTACTCATACGTGTGCTGTGCAAGCCATGTATGATCTTTGGTTGTTGGTGTGGACGTCATTGCCTCGTTTGATGCCCGTTCCGGCTTTTCTTCAATTAATTCAACGTTCTACTCAATTAACGTCCGCCGCCTTCCCTCTGCCGGCCAAGTACCCGCCGCCCCTATCGCTCACACCCCACACATACCCATCAGCCGTATCATACCCACCTTTTTCAATGCTCAAGCCCAATTGCCATACCCATCATCCTTTCGCCCGCTATGCCACCCACGTCACGACCCCCTCGTCCCCCCTACCATACTCATTACGCCCCGTCACCACCAACCACCACCCCACCCCTACCCCACCACCATCACTATCATCCTAGCCACAACCACCACCACCCTGCCTTGGCCATCCTCACCACCATCCCATCGCGCACCCGCTTCCTCTTCCTCCTCCTCCTCCTCCTCTCCTCGCTCTACCTCACCCCCATCCTCTCCCCCGACCTCGACACCGACACCACTCCACCATCACGTGTCATACTATCCATTTACCAACCATCAACAATCTCAAGCCACCCAGTTCCGACCCAGCCTCCTCAGCTGGCCCCGCTTCGCCGACCACCAGCCCTCAGCCGTCGCCCGCTCGCCCGATCAGGCCCACCTTCATCACCACGTAGCTCGTTCCCACTACCAGCTACACAACCCACGACCACCACCAAGGTCATCACACATCCCACACTATCTCCAGTATCAATATCGCTGTCATCGACACCCATCTTCCTCGGCTCATTTCCGCGTCGGCTTGTTTTGCCTGGGTGGTTGAGCACGTCCTCGACCGTCCCACCCCGCACACGCCCCCGAGTACACTCATTACAAGATATGGCCAATCTGATTTCACTACTACCCTACTACATGACCACACTACCCCCTTGCACAGTCTCCAATCCATAACTGCTGTATTCCGAAATTCGAGTTTCGCCGGCTCGGGCCCAAGTTGTTGGCCCTGTGTCCCTTCGATGCTGCTGACCCCTCCTCCCCGGGCCCATCTCCGACCCCCACTCCCCACCATCTCCACTCACAATCACCACATCCAGACCACACGTACCCATTATCCCTGCAACTATATCCATCGACTTCATTTGCCCCGATACGCACATCAGCCGACGTTATCCCGTCAACAGCATCGCTGCCGACCGCCGGCTGCTCGCCGCCGACCGCCGCCCGCCGCCGACCGACCACCACCGACACCACCGAGGGCAAGCTAGCCATCGACAGGGCATTGGAGGCAATGCATGCGGATAGCCACAACAATGGAAATGCCTACCAGTGCGCCCTCCAACCCAATCCTCCCCTCCCTCCTCCGGCCTTGCCCATCACAGCCCCGCCGGCCTGCTCATCACCAGCCGCCCCTGCCGCCGATCACCAAGCTAGACGACGAGACCACCGGGCTGGCCAGGACGAGGAAGAAGAAGAGAGGGCGGGGGCAATCGATAGGCAATGCAGTGGTGGGCCAGAGTGCAATGGTCTGCCTCCTTCCTCCAATCTCAAGCCATCGTCCCCATCGACGTCCATCTCAATCCAATCCATCCCGCCCTCCTCGCCCAAGCCGCCCAAGCCCCTCCACCCTCATCAACCACACCCCACACACACCCTTCATCCTCACCATACCCACCCACATCAATCCTTCACTCCAATCGCCATACCCACTGCCATTCCGCCCATTCCGCCACCCACGTCACGACCCCCTTCATCCCCCCTACCATACTCATTACGCCCCTCACCACCAACCACCACCCCCACCCCTACTCCACCACATTCACTATCATTGCAGCCACAACCACCACCCACATGTCCTGGCCATCCTCACCACCATCCCATCGCGCACTCGGCCTCCTCTTCCTCCTCCTCCTCCTCCTCTCCGAGCTCCAGCTCACCCGCATCCTCATTCCCGACCTCGACACCCACACCCCTCAATCATCAGATGCCATACTGCCCATTCTCCAACCAACTGCAATCTCAAGCCACCTAGCCCATCCAACCACCACGACCCGGCTCCCGAGTTTGACCTGTTTCGCTCCCGTGGTTCATACACCCAAGTCATGAGTCATTGCGGCAAAGGCCCGGGTCCACCCGCCCCGCCACCCACGCCACAACCCCCTCATCCCCCCCCCACCATACTCATCACGCGCCATCACCACCAACCACCACCCTCATCCCCTACTCCACCGCCATCACCCCATCCCAGCCACATCCCCTCCCCCATGCCATGGCCATGCCCACCACCACCCACAATACTCCCATCGGCGAACGAGATACAGCTCTTCAATCGAGTACGTGCGTCAATCCACAACAATCACCGCTACAGCACAACTATACCTTCCGCACGGCTGCGTCGTATGCTGGCGGTGCCTCATCCGCTGCTGGCGGCGGCGCAGACGGCGGCGCGTACGGATTAAACGGCGGCGGCGCGTTCGGCGTGGCGACCGCTGGCGCGAGGAGCGGATTGGGGGCAATGAGCGCTGCAGGCGCCGGCACAGGCGCGATGCCGGAGGTGGTGCTTGTGTACATGCTGTGCGGCAGTGGTGGACCTGCTGTGACGGCGGCCACACCGGATGTCGCCGGCATCGTGCCCGGTGCCCCTTCCTCGCTCTCGACAACGCCATCATCATCGTATGCGTCGGGGTTGTACGCCACACACAGGATGCACTGGACAATAATGAGAGTCGCCACCGCGATGCCGCCGATAATCATCATGATCGGCCCGCCAGTCTTTGCCCAGCACTTGAACGAGTCCTTAAAGAAGTTGTTGGGATCGCACGGGTCACCAAAGCCCATCGAGGCATGAATGGTGAAAATAGCCCCGAGCGCAAAGACAATGACGCCCAGGATGAGCGCAACGCAAGCCAACTGCGCCGGTCTCGTACGGCAACATCGTGTCTCGGTGCAGTCAGCTCCACCTCGCCCGTACACACCGCCACCCACGCCCCGCGAATATCCTGGCCGATGGTGGATACCGTGGTGGACACCGTGGTGGACACCGTGGTGGACACCGTGGTGGACACCGTGGTGGAGAGCACCATGGTGGACACCGTGGTGGAGAGCACCATGGTGGAGAGCACCATGGCGGTGATGCCGACCAACGCGCCCGATCCGCCCTCCTGCCCGCCGCCCTCCTGCCCGCCGCCCTCCAGCTCGTCGCCCTCCTGCTCGCCGCCCGCCAGACCGTCCTCCTCTGCGTCCTCCAGCACCCATTGCAAACACAACGTTGTGTAGGAGATATGTATATCCCTTCTACCTCAACCGCCACCGCCCGTGAGCACTCTCTCTTCGCACCGCTCGCTCTGCCGTTGTTGCTCACTTCTCAGTACCAGAGTGCACCCAAAAATTGTTCACCACCCCCCACCCCCCATCCACACCCGCTCACACCCTCCCCTCCCCTGCCATCAATCTTCGCCATGCACCCACACCAGGAGCCTAGCCAAGCTCACACCTCCACACCGCTCCCCGTTCTCCCCACTCGATTCTACCCCGAGTGACCGTGACCATGGAGAACACTTACGAGGACATCGACATTGGTGCCCTCCTCGCCGGCCTCGGCAAGGAGCACCTCAACGATGTCTACCTTGGTACGCCGCCCCGCCCATCCCCGCATCTCATCCTCCATCCTCGCAACCCCCCCGCGCTCACTCACTGCCCCCCCCCCGTCCACAGCTATCAATGCCTTCCACAAGAAGAACACCGAAGCCCTTGCCGAGCGCTCTGGTCAGTCATCGCTTATGTGGGCGTATGCTGCTGCATCGCCCGAAGGCAAAGAGCTCGTGGACATCCTCAAGCGCGTCCTCACCGCTGTCGCCCGCTCCGAGTCGGCCTCGCTCGCTCCGCTCCTCGCTGCTGTCGTCGAGGTCTTTGCCGACATCATCTGGGCCGGCAGCTCGCTCCACGAGCGGACTCTGCCACGGACCAATGATCTGCCTGAACTGCAGGAGCAGGCCGACGACCGCCTGCCTTCGCTTGCGCTCGCCCTCGCCCGCGCCATCCTCCGCTCCTACCTCGCCCGACTCTACCCGACGCTCTCCTCGTCGGGCCCGCAGGCCCTCGCCACGCTCCGCCTCCTCGCTGCCATCGCCGCTCTCTCGCCGACCATCGCTCGCGAGCTCATTCGCCGCTTCGACTGGTCCCTCAAGTCTTTCCTCAACATTCCATTTGACTTTGGCCGCGCCTCGCAGAAGAACGGCGTTGCCGCCCTCTCAAAGGCCAACTCGCTCGGCGTCTCACCCTCTGATCTGGTCTCCGCCTACTTTGAGATTCTCATCACCCTCCTTGCTCACGATGCCCCGGGCATTGCCATCGCAACCGTCTCGCTTCGCACCGTCGTCCCGGCCACCTTCCAGATCCTCGGCATCGCCCCGCCGTCAGCCGTCGTCCCGCTGCTCACCCTCATCACCCAGCGCATCGCCCTCGCCTCGCACGTCACGAAGCGCATCCGCATGAAGCTCTTCAACTCACAGACCCTTGTTCAGCTCTCCAAGAACCTCGGCATCCTCCGCAACGACGAAGATTCACGCGCCCTCGTGCTCATGGCCCTCTTCAAGGTCCTGCTCAATGCCGACGACCCGGCCATGGCCATGTCCGCCTCAGATCTGCTCCGCGGTGTCATCACCGCTCATCGCACCTCAGACGTTTACCGTTTCTTCAGCCCGTCGTCCGCTGTCGGCGACGCCGCGGGCCGCGCCCTTGCCTCGGTCTCCTCCAGCGCCCTCGCTGCACTCGAGACCCTCCCGCGCTCGACCTCCATCCGCTTCTCCATCCTCCAGCCGCCGCCGGCCGACGTCCTTTTCCTCACGCTCCACGCCGCCAACATCGCCCGCTCCACAACCGTCTTCCAGCTCCTTGTCTCGCTCCACACCACTTGGGGTCTCCGACAGCGCATGCTCATCCAGTACGTCCTCTCCTCGCTTCCGGCACTCGTCACCCCTTACATCGCCGCCTGCAACTTTTCGTTTGAGCCGCGGCCCTCGCTCGTCTGGTTCTCGAACATGTCGTGGCTCACCCACCTCCTCCGCACCGTCACCCCGCCGCTCATCGTCGACGCCCCGCTCGAGTCGCAGGTCATGCCGCTCACCACCACCGTCTCGGCCCTCTCCCGTGCCCTGCAGCACGCCTCGCCGCTTGTTCGCTTCACCGCCTTTGGCCTCCTCGATGCTCTCTTTGCCCGTGTCGCCGTCCTCAGCTTCCAAGTCGAGCTCTACTTTGACGCCATCTCGGACAACCCCTCGCATCCGGCCCTCGTTCTCCACCACGGCCGTGCACTCACCGCCAAGGATGTCGCCCTCGACGACGATGTTCCGCTCGCCGCCTCGCACGACACCACCACCCCGGTCGCCACCCTCCCCTCGCACGCCGCTGCCCTCTCGCTCGTCGACCGCGTCCTCATCTCCTCGCTCCCCTCCCTTCGTGTCGTCCGCTCCGCTTACGCGAGCACCCTCCGCTCCCTCACAAAGGCTGCAAAGTCGGGCTCGGGCTCGCTTGACCTCGCCGCAGCCTCACTTCTTACCTCCATCCTCAAGGTCTTTGCTGGCTACGTCGCCCACGCCCCGTCGAGCCTCCAGGGCGAGCGCATGCTCTTCACTCGCCTGGTCCCGCCCACAGAGGTCCTCCTCCTCCTCCCGTCCGCCACCATCGACGCCCTCGTCGCCGTCCTCTCGCTCCCAACCACTCTCGGCTGGACCTCCGACTCCAAGTTCTCTCTCGCCCCACTCTGCGACCTCTACCTGCACACTCGCTCCGCTTCCCGCGCACCGCCGCCACCGTCTACGCCCTCCTCGTCCGCTTCCTCCGCGAGTCCGAGTACTTTGACGGAAACCCCATCGAGCTCCACCTCTGGCTGCACCTGCTCCCGGTCCTCGGCTCTGCCAACTTTACCGCAGTCCTCGACCGCGTCCGCGCCTCGCCGTTTGAGCACTTTGATGCCGTCGCCGATGCCATGGCCGCCGCGCCAAAGCCCGACGCCGACATGGCCTCCTTCCTCGCACACATGCGCGCATCGGCTAGCGCCTCCGACCTCACCGCTGCACCCTCCTCCAATGCCCTTGTCTGGTCGCCGCTCGTCGCCGCCTACATTGCCCACGACTCGCCTGATCCGGCCGTCCTCGCCGCCCTCGCCGCCCTCGAGCTCACCCCGGGTGTCCTTGCGAGTCTCTGTGCCTCGTCAAACATCGGCCTCCCCTCGCCGGCCCTCGAGCTTGACACCGCGTCCATCGGCGCAGACCAGGCCCGCATCATCCTTGCCGTCGCCGCCCTCAACCGCCTCATGTCGACCAAGCGTCCCACCTCGGACCTCATCACTGCCGTCCACGACATTGTCGACGACGCCATCGCAGCCAAGCACTCGGCCGCCCTCGTCGAGCTCAGCATCGTCGTCCTCCGCCACCCGGCCCTCGAGCGGGCATTCCTCCCCCCCAACGCCATCACTTCGCCTGATGCGCTCTCCTTGGACGACGGCATCCTTGCCACTTCGGTCGCTTCGGTCGCTGGCACCATTCTTCGTGCGCTGCCGTCGCCGCCGCCCGCAGTCGCCGCCGCCCTCGCGCCCATCATGGCCCGCGCCCAGCAAGCGTTCATGGCCTCGTCGCCCGCCCCCGACTCGCCGCTTGGCCAGACTCTTGGTGTCTGCCTCGCACTCTTGGCCAAGGGCTTCTCGCGGGAGCTCATTCCGCCGCTCGTCAACATGCTGCTCTCGCCCGACGTCGTTGAGCACATTGTCAACGCTCAGTCTTCGCGCCACTCGAACTACCACATCGTCCTCTGCCTCCTCCTCCGGCGCGAGCTCGACGTCAACAAGTCCAACCGCGGTGACCTGCTCGGTGTCGCTGACACGGCATACTTTGCCAAGCACTACTCGTCGACTCACGTCGCCACCCTCCTCACCGTCCTCGCCCATTCGGGTGTCCGCGACTGGGACGCCGTCTCGCGCCGGGTCGCTTCAGGCGAGCTCGACATCGACGACGATGAGGTCGCCTTCTACCTCCAGCTCACCGACGAAGAGAAGATCGTTCTCCGCCACACCTCGGTCCTCGCCCAGTTCACCACCGCCCTCGTCCAGAGCCTCGCCCTCCACGCCTCGCTGAGCCTCGCCTCCGAGTCCGACACCCTGCTCGCCGCCCTCGCCCGCCTCGGCGATCGCGCCACCGGCGAGGCTCTTGCCACCGTCGTTGCGCTTGTCCCCTCGTTCTGCGCCGCCCTCGCCAACTGGTGGGCGTCGCGCGTCGCTGCCGACAACATGCCGCTCCTCGCCTGGTTTGCGCTCCTCCTTCCCATCCTCGCCCCTGCGCTCGCCAGCCCGCACGTCCACCTCCCGGCCTCCGCCCGCGATGCCTTTGCCGTCGCCACCGTCGAGCTCATCCTCGATCCAGAGCTCCCCTCGCCGGGCATCGCCTTGGACATCATCACCGAAGCCATCGAGGCCAAGCGCCTGCCGGCAGCCGCCGTCGCCATCCTCGCCGACATCATCACTTCGGACGACCACGACGACCTCGTCCTCACCACCATGGCGCCACACTCGCTCGCCACCCTCCGCCTCTTTGCCGAGTCCGAGCTCGCCACCCGTGACGTCACCATCGCCTTTGTCACCTGGGCCTGCGCCGACCTGGCCCACGCCTTCCGCAAGCCGGCCGTCGACCTGCCCATGCAGCACGCCGAGATCGATGTCTGCCTCCAGCTCGCCCTTGTCATTCGCAAGTCGTCGGCCTTTGGCGCCTACCGCGCCCGCAAGCCGGTCGTGGCCCCGACCCCGCTCGTCGGTCTCCCTGGCGAGCTCCTCGCCCAGCTTGTCCGCCGTGCCCTCAAGCGCCGCTTCCTCCGCCCGGACGTTCTTTTTGTCCTCCGCTGGCTCGTCCCGCTCATTCCCCACACCGAAGACGCGCCCGACCTCACCACCATCTACGACATGATCTTCCAGCACTCGCAGCTCCGTGCAGCGCTCTACCCGCGCGCCACAGATGCTGATGAGCAGGACGCGGCCGACGAGCATGCCCTGCTCGACTTTGCCCACACCGACGAGGTCAAGCAGGCGCTTGTCGTCCTCATGCACGCTCTCCTCACCGCGCCCACCGCGCCCGCTACCGCTGCCCTCGCCCGCCACCAGCTGCCGCTGCTGCTCGCGGCCTACGGCGCTACCACCTCGCTTGCTGACCGCGTCCTCCTCCACATCCTCTTTATCTACGAGTCGGCCCAGCTCTCGCTCTTTGCCGACGCTTGGGGCTGGGGTGAGCACACCCTCACTCGCCTTGACGACATTATCGAGATCGAGCTCCGTCGCTCGCTCGGCGGGACCGTCTCATCACTCGAGGCCTCGGACAACGCCGGCCTCCTCTCGTCGCACCTCATTGACATGAGCATGCTCGACCGCAGCCTCCGCCTCTTCCCCATCGACATGCCGCTCTCCGTCAACGCAACTTCGGAGATTCCCGAGCTCGAGGGTACTGTCTGGCAGTCGCTCGCCTCCAAGATCTTGCGCGGCCGGTTCTCCGCGGCAGGCAACACCGCCCACGTCTCTCCCACCGTCGTCGCTCTCGCCAACGCAAGCAAGGGCGTCACCATGAGCGAGCCCACCTCCCGACCCTGCTACGACATGGGCTTCCTCCTCACCTTTTTCGTTCATGTCGCCGCCGCCAACACCGAGGCCTCGGTCGTCATCGAGTCGGGCGCCCTCGCCATCGGCTTCCGCGCCCTCGCCGCCCACCACTCGAACGTCCGCAAGCTCGGCTACGAGCTTGTCTCGCTCATCGAGTCGCTCATCCGCGCCTACCGCTTCCGCTCGCGGAGCAACTTTGAAGTCATCGTCGATCTCGTCAAGGGCTCTGTGACCCAGGAGTTTGAGCGCCTGCCCTCGGCGCTCTCGCTTGCGCTTGCGCTCGCCGCCCGCGTCCTCTCGTTTAGCAACAACCCGGTCTTCCCGGTCGTCGTCAAGTGGCTCACCAAGTACCCCTCGATCTACATCCACCGCCTCCCGTTCCGCGGCCACTTTGCGCCGACCAAGACGGGCGACGGCGTCATCGCCCGCCCCTTTGTCTTTGACATCATCGCCCACGGCGCGCACTCGGCCCGCGACCTGGCCAACTTTGACAAGGCCTCGATCGTCCAGGGCGTGTTTGCCGCCTATCTCGACTCGGGCAACCCGTCGCAGGTCGTCGACTCGGCCCTAGCCTTTGTCCGCCACATGGCCCGCGTCCCGGCCCTCGCCACCCGCCTCGTCTCAAAGTACAGCTTTGCCGAGTGGATGGCCGCCGCCATCGCGCCGTCAGACCTCTCCGGCGACGCCCTTGCAGGCTTTATGACCATCGTCACCGACCTCTCGCTCGCGCTCGACGACGCAAAGGAGTCGGCCATCGTCGATACTGCCGTCTTCACCCTCCGCTCGCTCGCCACCGCCGTTCTCACCCGCATGATCGCCGGCTTTAACGCTCGCTCCTGGAAGAACTACGAGATCTCCGCCATCTTCCACGCCGCCCTCGACCTCGGCGACCGCATCGACGCCCTCCCTTGCTCCATCCTCGCCGACATGCTCAACGCCTACCACGCCCACGTCCGGCCCATCCTCTACGCCCGTGTTGCCCGCCGCGCAGAGGCCCGCCTCGTTACCCGCATGGTCAATGCCCCGCCGGCGTCCTCGGCCGCCTCGGCCGACGCGCGCCTCGCCTTTGCCACCTCCGCCGTCGCCGCTGCTCTCCTCCCCACCACCGTCAAGTGGTACCGCGACGAGCATCTCAGGGACGAGGTCTGGGACCATCTCCTTCCCGCGCTGGCTGGCTTCCGCGCCGTCCCCTCGGCATCACTCGTCACCGGAATCCTCGCCCTCCTCGCCGCCTCGCACACCTGCATTTCGCCCGCTCGCTACGCCCGCCTCGTCGTCGCTGCCGCCCGCCTCGTCGGCCAGCACGTCGCCGCCCACCGGCCCGCCTCGCTCTCACCGCCAGCCACAAGTCGCTTGTCCTCGACACCATCCCGGCCGCGCTTCGCGCCCTCGACTCGGCCGACTCTGGCTCGTCCGGTGCCGTCCTCGGCCTCGTCGACGCTCTCTCGGAGCTTGTCCACGCCACTGCAGCACCATCGTAAAGCAAGACACACACCCGTTGCTCTCCTTGTTTTTCACGCATCTGTTTACTTTCCACACGCCTGTTCAGCGGCGGTAAACAAGGACTCGGTTCCGAGTCCGCGCCGCCGGCACAATGAGCTCGGTAGTGAGCGCGGCTTCGGTCGAGACCGAGGCAGGGATGGCAACGGCGGTGACAGCCGGCCGGAGGCCCGCGAGGAGGCGGCCGCGCGCAAACGCGGCCGTCGGCGCCACGAGCACCGACCGGGTAAGAATGCGGTGGGCGGCTGCCTGCCAGAGTCCAAAGTACTCCTTGACCAGCTTCTCGGCCTGCTCGCGCGAGGCCGACCGGGCGCTGGCCTCGAGCTCGCGCAGCGCGCCGCCGACCTTGGCATCGTTGTACACCAGGAGGTCGAGGTGGTTCTCCGACCGCGCTTCGGGTGCCGTCAGGTCGACCAGCTCGCTGATGGCCGGCACTAGCTCACCGTTGACCCGCGCCCGCAGCCGCAACATCCGGTGCAGGCCCGAAGTCTCGTGCCAGAGCTGCTCGTCGGCCGCTGCACGCACGTACCGCACCCCGGCCCTGTTGAGCACGTCCTCGGCCGACGCAAGTGACCGTGCGTGCATCGAGGTGACCACCATGACCTCGCCCGCGCCCACCAATGCCCGCGCCGCCTCGGGCAGCGACGACGGGAGAACAAGCAGGCCGCCGGGCACATTCTCGGTGTCACCGATGACAAAGCTCGGCGCCTTGAACGTAGTCCGCAGCTTGGCCGGTGTCCGCACCGGTGACGGGGTGCTCATCAGTGCTGAGAGCGCAGGCGGCCGCGAGTTGCGCTCGACCGCGCCCTCGCCCACAGCCGTCGCCGCCTCAAGAATCTCCAGCTGTGAGGCGTAGACAGCGGGGAGGACAAAGAGCTCGACAGCGGCGACCGCCAGCAGCCGCGCCGAAAACACGCCCGAAGCTGCGTCCGCCAGCGGTTGCAGGGTGAGCTCCATGGTTTCGGGCGCGTCCGGCAGGGGTCGGATCCGTGACACGGCGCAGTGCGCCGAGCCGGACGCAGACCGGACGCAGGCAAACAGCTGCCTAGCGACCGGCCGTGGCTGAACCGTCCACATCGGGAGCTCGACCACGCCGCATCCATCGTTGCGCCACGTGACCGTTGCATCGGTAAAGAGCTTGGAGCGCCCAGTCGTCTCCAGCCCAGGTGGCGCCGACGACGACGCCGTGTACACCGCCATGCCGGTGCACACAATGCCAGCCTTGAGCGCGTGGACCTCGGCACCAGGCACAGTGCTGGTGGCCACTGCGCCGCCGCCTACGTCGCTGCTGGAAGACGGCCCGGCGCTCGTGTCGAGCGGGTCGTTGGCGTCGAGCCAAGCCCGCGGTGACGTGGTGTGTGCCACGCAGCAGCCCGGGCCGCTCGGCTTCGTCCCAAGCCATGCGGTAAGGAGCGCAGGGCTGAGCTTGCCGCTGTCGCCCACCGGTCGCGCGCCAACAAGGACGCACACCTCGGTGGTAAACGGAACAAGCGCAAGTGAGTTCTTGCCGTCGGCGGTCTCCTGTGCAATGACCACCTCGGGTGCCGACTTGGACGACGCCCGCGCGTACGACGAAGTCGAGACAACCGAGCCGAGCGCGCCAAGAGGAACAACAATGCCCGGCAGCGCGCCGCGGCCGCCGGGCCACGCCCATGCCAGCTCGGGCACAAAGAGCCGGACACCGGTCGGCATCGCGCCCGACCGCAGAATCTCCACTACCATACCGCGCGCGGTCAGCGGCGCGGCCTGGAGCGAAGCGAGGAACAGCGCGCGCTCGAGCTTGATCGACGCCCGCCCGCAGTTGGCGGCCTTGGTCGAGAGCTCCTGGACGATATCCTTGACTCCGACGGTGACCGCAACGCTCGAGCCGATGACCGCGGCCTTGAGCCGCTGCTGGGCGAGAACGTGTGCGGCCGAGCGGAGCGGCGACGTGACCGGTGCAAAGGCGGCGACGCCGTGGAAAACGTGCGGCGTCGCGGTGTTGCTCTTGGTCACCGCAAGGTACCTCGTCCGGCCGCGGCCGAGCGCGGCCTCGACCGCTTCGCGCAGCGTCTGCGACGTAAGCGCACCGAGAGCAGCCGGCGGCTTGGCGTCTGCCGCTGTCGGCGTCTGGTCGTGCCAGACGAGTGACTTGCCGCGCTGCTTCTTTCCGCGGCTCTGCTTCTTGGCGCCACGCACTGCGTACTTGGCGCCGGGCGACGACGGCGTGTCGTCGGCGGTGTGCCACTCGCGGAGCTTGCGGACGGCCGACGTCACGTCGGCCGCATCGCCGCCGAGCCGCTCGAGCGTCCGCTCCAGCGCCTCCATGGTCTGCACGCTCGGCGCCGGCTCGGCTGCGAGCAGAACAGGGCAATCCTCGGTCGCCGAGGCCTTGAGCGCCGCCCCCGCGAGCGAGGCGTAGGTGATGCAAAGCTCGTCGAGCGCACTCCGCGCCCGCGACGCGGTCCGATTGCGAACCACCGGCTGCGGCGGGTGTGCCGCGCGAAGGTATTCGATGGCATACTCCGGTCGAGTCGTTCCCTTGCCGCCACACCGCGCCGCGCGCAGATCGTCGGTCATAGCAAAGAGCAGCTCAAAGAGCGGCGAAGACTCGGCGGCGGCAAACGTCACATTCTCATCAATGAGCCACGCGGTCTCGACAAAGGCCGACGAGGCCACAGCCCACTTGCCGGTTGCTGGCTCCATGGCAATGTCAAGCGCGAGCGAGACGGTGAGCTTGGGCGTGCCGTCGGCGGCAAGCGCCGCGGTCTTCTCCAGAATCGACGGAAAGAGCGCGCGGCGGACCTTGGAGCCGTCAGGCAGGTTGATGTGCAGCGTCTGGTCGCGGGCAAGGATGGCAGCCTCGAGCTCGCCGCCAGCTCGGAGCCGGGCTGCCAGGTCGGCGACGTGGACTCCGATGCGGACCCGCGAGACGTTGCCTTGCCCATCCTGCTGGAGGCCGGTGAGGGTGAGCGCTACCTGAGGGTCGCGGGCATGCGGCTCGGTGAGGGTGAAGCACCGCGGCGGGACCGAGGCGCCCGGCGCCGAGAAACGCGCCGCGGTTGTCTCGAGCCTCCGCTTGAGCTCGTCCTGCGGCGTCGGTGCAGAGGCTGTCACGGCCTCGTCGAGAGCAGCGGCGGTAAAGGTCTGCGCCTCGGGCGCCACAAGCGCAATCGGTTCCATCTCGAGCGCGCCGCAGTACTCGGTGATGAGCGGGCCGATGATGGCGGCGACGGTCGCCGGCAGCTGCTTGGGCGCCGTGTCCATCGGGGCCGGCCTGGGCGACGGCGAGGCCTGCGGCGCTGGGGCCGCGTCAAATCCAGGTGGGCCGCCGGTCGGTGTGCTGGCCTTTGCCTGTGGTGCCGGAGCCGGTGCGTCCGACTGCGCGGCCTGCGCGACCTTGGAGACGGCCTGGGCCTGGGCCTGGGCCTGGGCGGCAGAACGGGAACGCGCTTGGGCTGCGTCGTACTCGGCGTGGGCGTGCGAGTCTGCCGAGGCACGAAGCTGAGGGAAGGGCGACGGCGAGGCGGTGGGCGACGGCGGGACAAATCCGAGTTCTGCGGGCGCCTTAAAGGTCTTGGCAAACGAGAGCGCCGGCTCTGCCGTCGACTGCTTGGCCTTGGCGGCGTCGACGGCAGCAAGCTCGACAGCGAGGATCTCCTGGACAAAGGGAAGCGAGGCGGCGAGCGCCTTGGCGGGCGCGAAAAAGGTGGTGGACCACTCGGCGTCCTGGGCAAAGATCTGAAGAGAGTCGATGGTCGATTCGAGGGTGTCGAGGAGGGCGGCGATCTTGCCCGGCGCGGCCGGCAGGACGGCGCGCATGGCCATCATGGAGAGGAACCGCGAAAAAGTGTCTGCGCCAAAGGCGCAGGTGTGGCCGTACATGTGCCACGCCGGGTCCTCGAGGATGTCGGGAACGTGGCCGACGGTGACAACGAGGTTGCGGGCCCGCGAAATGGCAGTGTTCATCCGGCGCGGCTGGTGGACGAGGCGGGCGAGGCGGTCGACCGACTTGCCGTCGGTGAGGAGGAAGATGACCTCAAACTCGAGGCCCTGCACGTTGTCGAGCGGAAGGACCGTGAGCGAGCCAACCGAGGCAGAGCGGAGGGCAGAGCGGAGCTCGCGAGCCATCGCCAGGTTCGGGGTGATGACCGCGGCCGACTCGAGGAGCTTAGGGAAGGTCTCGGCGGCTGAGGTGAGGAGGGAGAGCGCGGCGGCTACGGCCTCGTCGGGCGTGGCCGGGACAAAGAAAGGCGCGGCCAGGCCTCGTCGATGAGCATGTCCGGGAGAGCAAGGGCGGCGGCGGAGCCGGGCGCAGCGCAAATCTGGCCGCCGTAGATGGGCGCGAGGGCGTTGACAATGTGCGGGTGCGAGCGGAAGACCTGGAAAAAGTGGATGCGGTGGACCGAGAGCGAGGCCGACATGGAGAGGCGGCGCGGGAGCGAGCACGCGGTGAGGTTGACCAGCCGCGGCGAGAAGCCGAAGCGGAGCGAGAGCGCAACGTTTGTCCGCGCGTCCATCTGCATGTGGTCCGAGACGAGAACGAGCTGGGTGGCACCGGGTGCGGCGAGGAGGAGCGGGATGAGGAGCTCGGCCTCGGCGGCCTGGGCGGCTTCGTCGATGATAATGTGGGTAAAGAAGCCCGGCTGGATGCCGAGAAGGGCAAGGTTACCAGCGGTAACGGTGGTGGAGACGACGACCTTGAACGAGGCGAGCTTGTCGGCCGGGTGAGTGACGTAGTGCGGGGTGAGCTTGCCGTCGCGGGTGTAGCCCGAGCCGGTAGGCGAGGGCGAGGTGTAGCCGCGGATGTTGGCTGGGACCGAGCCCGGGTTACGCATCGAGCCCATGAGGCGGTAGACCATTGAGGCTGGCCACTGAGAGTCGGCAAAGGCGCCAGCGTAGATGTCGGCCGCTGAGTTGGTGTGGGTGCAGATGAGAATGCGCGACGCCGGGTTCTTGAGCAAGTGGTGGAGTGTCTCCTTGATGGTCCGCGTCTTACCGGCGCCAAACGGGCCCTCAAGGAGGGTGGGGATGGGGTCGGGCTGGAGGACGTGGGCAATGACCTGGCGCTGGACGGGGGTGAGGCACTCGTCGACAACTGCCACGGGCGAGTCCGGCTCGTTCTCGGGCATGGGCATGAGCGGGAAAACAACGTCGAGAGCGACGTTGGCGACCGCGTGGTGCATGAGGGTGTAGCGGAGGGTGTCCACGACCGAGAGCGGAAACTTGGCGAGGACAACCGGCGGGAGCGGGAGCCGTGCCGGCGGGCGGGAGAGCCGGAGGACGACCGTCCGGCCGGTGAGGTCGGCCGAGAGGATGGTGCCGGTGAGGTCGGGCTCGGCCGACGACGAGTTGGGCCACCAGATGGAGAGGCTCGGCGAAGCGCTCGGCGCCGAGAGCGCCGAATGGCAGCGGGAGACGTCCTCGGCCGAAACGTCCCACAACGTGAGGCCGAGCGGCGACGCCGGGTCGTACTCGGCGGTGACTGGGCGCGGGTCATGGAGCGCGAGCTCGTCACAGAGGAGCACGTTGTGGAGGAGGGTACGGTACGAGTCCGAGTCGAGCCCGATGAGCGAGGTCGCCGGGTCGACCGGCTGCCGATGGAGCCACTTGAGAAAGGCATTGATGTCCGACGGCGCAATGCGGGTCGCAGCGTGCGCCGGCGGAGCGCGCGCAGCCGCAGGCAGGCCCAGCAGAAGCGCCGCCTCGCCGGCAGGCGCCGAGCCGACCGCCTGCGGGTAGAGCGACGGTGGCGGGTCGTGCCGCGGCGGGCCCTTGACCGGCTGCCACGGGTGCGGGTCGATGGTGGCACCCGACGGCGCCACGCTCCGCGACCGCGGGCAGACAAGGAGATCCGGCGCGTAGTCCTCGGGCAGGACAATGGCGAGGCCGTGGTGGGTGAGGCAGTAGGCGCAGACCGGAACCGACGATGAGCCGGCGTTGACAATGTACCACGCGTCGCGGAGCTCGACGGCGGTCGGCCGGTCCCAGTTCCACTCGGCGGCCTCGGCGGCCGAGTGAGGGCAGGAGCACCCGCTCAGCGCTCCCATCGGCTCGGAGACGGCGCCGGGATCGTGGCCTTGGCTCCCAGCGGCAGCGCAGAAGATAAACCGGTCGGGCGCGGCGCTCGCAACCGACGGGCGGCGGGTGACTCGGCGCCAGCGGAGCATAGACGGCGGGGTGTTGGGCGCGGCGCGGGCAGCAAACATCATGGTCTCCGAGCCCGGCGCGCCACAAGAACCGCACAGCGTGTCCATCGGGCTGTTGGCGTCGCGCGGAATGAGCCGCGACGACTGCGAGAGGCACTGGGTACAGGCAAAGAGCCGGAAGTGGCCCACCAGCGGCGAGAGGTGGAGCGGGACGACGGCCGGCGGGGCGAGGCCGAGGGCGGTACAGACCCAGTCTGCGACAGTGGTACCCGAGAGAGCCACGCCACCCGGCGCAGAGCCCGCCCCGCTTCCACTGCCTTGGCCAGGTCGGATCTTGGCTCCGCCCTGCGCCGCACTGGTGCCCGAGCCGGCGTGGTGTCCACCGCCGGCACTGGCCATGGATGTCGCTTGCGATCCCGGAGGCTTGCCACGAGCAGGGGCCGTGTGGGCATGGGTATGGGTAGAGGGGGACAATGACGGCTTGGCCAAAGACGAGGAAGGGAGCGGGGATGATGTAGCTGACTTGGGGGTGGAAGAGAGCATGGAAGGGGCAAGGAGCGAGGGTACAGAGCCCGGAGTAGGCGTCCGTGGCGCAGACAGGGTCAGGAGCTTCCCGTCCGAGGAGAGAGTGAGTCCCCAGCGGGCGACCTGGGAGAGCACATACTTCTTGAGCTTGGGAGGAGGACGGAGGTTGGAACGGAGCTGCTCCCACTCGGAGAGCGCTTCAGGTGACTTGTTGAGCACGTCACCAAGGGCTGACACAGGGTACGAGCCGGCCTTGCTCACCGCGCTTCGGAGCTCGCGGGCAAAAGCGTTCATCGCTGGCGTTGAGTCGAGTCTGTCCCTCCAACTCTTTGTCCGACCGACACTTCTACCAAAGTCATCCCATTTAGAGATCACACTCTCTGCCCTCTGCTACAGGGAGCACGGGAGCCAGATGATGGCACCACGGTTGTGATCTAGCACATTGGGCGGCTGCTGCAGTTTGATGGCTTCTGTACTGATGGCTACTTGCGCAACCGGCTGGCGGCGCGGCACACTCTGCCGGTGTTGTACTCTGCTACAAGGAGCACGGGAGCCAGATGATGGCACCACGGTTGTGATCTAGCACATTGGCCGGCTGCTGCAGTTTGATGGCTTCTGTACTGATGGCTACGGGCGCAACCGGCTGGCGGCGCGGCACACTCTGCCGGTGTTGTACTCTGCTACAAGGAGCACGGGAGCCAGATGATGGCACCACGGTTGTGATCTAGCACATTGGCCGGCTGCTGCAGTTTGATGGCTTCTGTACTGATGGCTACGGGCGCAACCGGCTGGCGGCGCGGACTTTGGCGAGATCGCTATCGATGGGGCTGCAGCGATGAGGCGATAGATGTCATCCATATCGGATATGGTGTGTGGTTTGTTGATGGGGCGAGGTGAGCGGTGAGCAGTGAGCGGTGAGAGTAGGCGAGTCGAGTCGAGATCATTGTTGTCGTGGGATGGGAGGCGAGTGTGCGGATGTGTGGGTGACGATGGGCATGGCAACGAAACCGAGGACGAGGACGAGGACGAGGCGAGGACGAGGGAGAGAATGCTCATCCGCGGCCCTTGAGAATGAAAGCCATGCCGATCCAGAAGGCGAACCAAAGGGCAAACTCACCCCATGCCACCTTGCACTGTTCCACCGCATTCATGTACCTGGTGAGTGTGATAGCCAGGGGAGGGGAGGGGAGGGGAGGGGAGGAGGAGGGGAGGGAGGGAGGGAGGGAGGGAGGGAGGGAGGGAGGGAGAGGAGGGAGGGAGAGGAGGGACTGAGAGTCCT